CGGTTGCGCAGGAGCCCCGCGAGCCCTGTCTCTGATGTCCCCTCCGCGCTGTCAGGTGACGGTGGCGTTGGTGGCTCATCACGGCAGTATTAAGAAACCCATCCACACATAACACCAGGAAACTGGGACTCAGCTCCCAAGAGCACCCCGAGGCCCTCGCGGCAGAGGTGGCGGCCATCACTGTCACCCAAGGCTGGCTCCAGCACGCCGCCACCGAGGCCCAGCTCTCAGCTTCTCCAAGTCAAGGCCATCTGTGCCGGCCACTCTGCCTGCCCTGGAATCCCAGAACGGTGTCCAGTCTCCCACTGTCCGCCGTCCAGAGGATGTGCGGCCAGCAGGGCTGCTGAGATAGGGGTGTGCTGGGCGGGGCTGTCTCCTGAGCACGGAGGTGGGAGGCACATGGCCACGGGCAGGGTGACTGCATCGCGAAGGCACCGCCTGCTCCTACCGGCTGCACTTATTATGCTCCTGTGGGGTACACGGCCTCGGCTGGGGTGCACCGGGAGTCCCAGGAGGGTGAGGGGTGCAGAGGTCAGCGTGCAAAAAGCAGTGGTGAGGGACAGGCTGGTGGCTGTGAGAAGCACCCAGCTCTAGGGCAGACATGTGGCAGGTGGGTTTGGGGGCTGCGGAGCTGGGGGTGCTCACTGCTGGGGCAGCGGGCTGGAGGGAAGTCTCCTGACCAGAGGGAGCTGCATGGGGGGTTCCAAGTGCCCAGGATGACCTGGAGGGCTCAGTATGCAGCTGAGCAAACTGGGCCAGGCCCTGGGCACTGGGGAGCCATTGTTAGTTCTAGTGGGCTCTCTCTGGACATCCCCCATGGACAAGGAGCTGTGGTGAGGGGTGAGCCTGGAGGCTGAAGCCAGGGAAGAGGCTCGAGCCCTGCCTAGCCAGGAGGCAGTGGGCACAAGGGGCACCTCGGACCTGTACGTGGGGTGGGATGGGCGGAGGACCCGGGTGTTCCTCCCAGAGAGGGCGACTAAGGATGGGGGCCTGGGAGCCGGGGCTGGCGCCCAGCCTGGACAGTGCGGTGCATCTTGGACCCCTGGCCCGGGTCTTGCCTTCTGCTGCCCCTTGGGTTGAAGCCCCCGCCCCAGCTTCTACAGGGCTCTCCATCCCGTGCCCAGCCCCCAGCCTGCTTCTCAGGGCGTTTTTCTCCTGAACAGCCCCTGCCCGTACATCTCCCCAGGGACCGTGCTTCCCTCCACCCTGGGCTCCTAGATTTCATTACCTCTAATGAGCCCACCCGAGGCCAGCGAGGCAATTATAGGCCTCCACATCAGGCTCTGGAGCCAGGCGGGCACGCAGCCTCAGCACACGCCGCCGCGCTGCCTGGTAATGAGAGGCCAGAATCCGGGAATTAATGAGGACAGCAAAATTAATCACAGGTTGCTGGGTTGCGCCGGGCCCCAGGAGGCCTTCTGCAGGTTCGAGCTCGGACTTGCTCCAGATCTAGGGCTGGGAAGGAGCCATCTGGGTCCTGAAGTTGTGCTTGGGGAGGAGGCCACTTCCGGGAACCCCGAGGACCTGCTGTGTGACTGGGGGGTGGGAGCTTAACCTCTCTGGGCTCCAGGCCTCTTCATCTCTTAGAGGGAGATGATGCCTGACACTGCTGTCCTGCTTCTGGGAAGATGCCATTGGTTTCGCATATGGGGGACAGGGCTGTTCCCCTCCCCAGGAGCTCAAGTCGCACTTCCCAAAGGATGGCACTCAAGGCCTTGTTCCTGAGTGTCCAGGCCTCGCACCACACTGGGAAAGGAGAAGGCTGGAGATGGCGGTGAGGGCCTCTAGCTGCTGGCCCCCAGCCCCGCCCGCAGGAGGGGATAGATCCCCTCGGGTGGAGGCCGCCTTGCACCCATGCCCTGGCTTCAGCCCCTCTGGCCGGGTCAGCCCTGGCGCCCACTGCTGGAAGGACAGGGTGTCTGCTTAGCGCGGCACCAGGAGGAAGCCCAGACAACACACCGCGTCCCCTGGCAGCTGCTGGGCCACTTCTTAGAGGGCAAAGATATTACCAATGTGTTCTCAATCCCCTTCTAAGGAAAATAAGTTTACATAAAAGGCATTTGGTCTCCCAGCCCCCGTTCTCTCACAAGAGTCTTTGCTTACTGCTGGCCGTGACCAGCACAGAGGGGTGTGGCTCCAAGAGCGCCGGTGAGGGGAACCCCGTGGGTGCAGGCGTGCGGGTAGGCTCCGGGCAGCGGCAACTGCGGGAATGCCCTGGGTTTGATGGAAAGGAGAATGCAGGGCAGAGGGCCCGCAAGCGCTCCTGATGGCCACGAGGCCTGGCTGGGGTGACCTCCAGGTGCTCAGAGCCCCTGCCTAGGGCTCTCGGTCCCAAGGAGGCAGGTGCCCTTGGGTGGACTCAGCAGGGAGCAGGTTATCCTGAGCCCAGGAGGCCCCTGAGGGGCCGGCAGGGTCACTATGCCTGCTGTTCCACCTGCAGGGTCCCAGCCTCCCCCCACCCGCTGAGCTAAAGCTGAGACTCAGCAGTGTCTACTGACACCCCAGACGCCGCCAAGCTAGGCATGCGGGAAGAGCCACCCAGGGTCCAGAGGGAGCCCCTTCCCGCCATTTCAGGTGGCGGCTCTGGAGATGTCCCTGGAGGCCTCCAAGGACAAGACCTTGGCACCCATGTGACTGCCTGAGTCTCCCCGCCTCCGTCCTTCTCCACGTACTGCTGCCTTGGGAGAAGCTGAGCTTCCTACAGAGGCTCTGGTCAGAGCCGCGCTAGGCCTCTTCCTGCTGTGCAGCTCTGTAGAGGGCTGGAACAGGGCCAGGGCTCCCCTGAGAGGGGCAGGGTGCTGGGGACCCCCAGTGGGGAGAAAGGGGTGAGGTGGGGGCAAGAGGAAGTGCTGCAAGCCAGGACTCCTCTAGGAATAGTGAGCGGAGGAGTGTCAGGGTCACAAGCTGGGGCCTGGCTCCCGGTGGGTCTGGCCAAGTCGCCTCCTCCTGAAGATCAGACTGAGCTCCCCTCGAACTCCTCCAGGGGTGTCCCGGAGGCCCCACCTGTGCCGAGCTGGGCCCTCACAATGAAGCCGGTGCTTCCTGTCCCCCAGGGGCCACCCTACGGCCAGGAGCTAGTGCGGGGCAGCCCCCCCACGTGACCCTGGTCGCTGCACAGGAGCTAAGTGGAGTGGCTGGGAGGAGCAGGCGGCCAGCCCGCTGTCCCTGCCCGGAGCTGCGGTTTGGGTCGGGCTCCGCCCGGCTCCCAGGCGGGCGGAGTGGGCGGTCAGGCAGGGCTGGATGGGGCCGTGCTCCTGTTAATTGTGAGCCTCTGGGCTGTGCCTCCATAAAGGTTGTCCTGGTTACTTCAATAGCGAAATGTTTTACGACACCAAATACTTCTCCTCGTTAGCCTGGAAAGGTCAGGGAACTCAGCCTTTTATGTTTCCTGGACAAGTGGGTCTGACCTTTATTTAGTGAGGGAGGCCGGCTGAGTCTCCGCATCTTGGTAGGCCTCTCTGTTGCTGGTGGCACGCTGGTTGCCTCAGTTTACCCCTCTGTGCCATGAATTGAGTTGAACTCAGCCAGCCTACAGGGGTGGGGGTGTGGGCGGGGTACTTTGGGCTCACATCTGGGGCCTGGGGCAAAGGCTCAGTCAGTTTGGGGGGCCTCCTGCCGAAGGGTGGGCATGGTCTGTTGCCCACTACCCAGCTCCCGGCTTGCCTGGCCCGGGGGACAGAGTCCTGCTGCGGGTCCCTGGAGGACGGCCGCAGAAGAAAGAGGCTGTGGCTCGAGTGGATGGGTGTGTCCCTCAGTCGTCTGCCTGGAGGAGGGTGTCCCTGGGCCATGTAGGGTTGGGGGGCTTCCGGGGTAGAAACAAGAGAGGAAAGCTGTGTCCTGGGGCACAGCGGCTGCTGTGATTCCCACACCTGGTGGCCCAAGACCGCACAGATTGCCTTGGCGGGAGCTGGCCCCGAACCCTGAGTGGCCCCTCCATCTGCTCTGCCACCTTTGCTGGGAGGCGGGACTCCTGGGAACCGGGAGTCTGTCTCTCCGGCCAAAGTCCTGTCTACACTGGTGGCCGCTGTGGGAAGAGCTCCGGCAGGGAGCAGCCTCGGACGCCGGCCCGCACCGCCCCCACTGGACTAGGTCGTTGTACCCGGTAAACGGATGGGTGGAGAGCAGAGGGACCTGCCCTGCCCGTGATAAATGTGTTGATTCTCAGACGCCGTCAACACGGACTAGAGCAACCACGGGGCTGGAGAAACACCCTTGCACAGAAGTCTCTTTGGAAAAAGCAACAGGAAAGCGAAGGCTGCCAGAAGGCTGGCCCACACCGCGAGTCTCTCTCGGGCTCAGGAGGCCGTTTGCTTAGCCGCCACCCAAGATCAACTTCGGAGCCACTTTCCTCGGGAGGGGAAAACGTCGCTGCTCTGACGGGACCCGAGTGGCTCCTGCAGGTGCCTGCTGTGAGAGATGCCGTCCCAGGCCTGAAACCAGTGATTGCTGGGGGCGGCTTGGGAGAGGCTGGTGATACCTGTGTGGGCCTCCTGTGGACGGTGATGTCATCGGGCCTCGCCTGGCTCCTGGGCGCCTGTCCTGAGAAGGGGGCAGCCGTCACAAGGGGGTGATACACAGGCCTGAACAGACAAGGAGTGTGCAAACTGTACTGTGAACATTTACCTTAAAAAAGTATTACCTTAAAAGTCATGGCCACCAACACTCTCCACATCCTCCCCTGCTCCAGACACTTATCCCACCATCCTTGCTGCTTTCTGAAGCCGCTCTGGAAGTTCTCTTTCATGAGGACTGTTACGAGGTATGATCAAAACCCCCCCGCAGTGGACGCAGCTGCGGGGCATTCCCCGACAGAAAGGCAGACTTGTAAGCACACGACACTGTGTCCTTATCCGCCTCATTCACCGGATCTGGCAACCTGCAACTTCTGGCTCTTTCCCAAAGACAAATGACCATGAAAGGTCGATGTTCTGAATCGGGCAGTAGGGCTCCAGCGCTCAGGATAGTCAGGCAGCCACAACAGCACAACTAAAGGTGCTCACTGTCTTTATTCCCGTAAGAGATTTTTAAAAAATTAAATGTTCACTGTATTTTTCAGTCACATCACGTAGGCTCTTAGGCTGGGTCTTTAGCCTTAGGCTGGGGACAGAGATGAGAATATCCCCTGACTGCCAAGCTCCCAGAGGCAGAAGGAGCCGGGGAAGTTTCTGGAGCTAGGAGGCACCCCTGGGTGCCCCGCGCTGCACCTATACAGCACCCAGTCACACCGCAGCACATTCTGATGAGGAAATTCGCTCTCAGGAACCGGCTTCCCCTTCTGCGCCTTCCAGTCCTGGGGAAAGGCCAGGGGCTGCGTTGCCTGGGAGACAGCAGAAGCATCTTGTCTGTGCAGATTTGGGGTGAGGAGTGGGGAAGGTTCCTCTGGGCCTGGGGACAGCTCCTTCTCTGGGAGCCCCTCTTCCAGTTCTGGTCCTCTCTCCCGGCTTGTACGTAACTGAGCTCAGCCGGTACAGGGCCAGTGCGAGGGGGATACAGGGTCAGAGGTGCGTCACGGCCAGAGCCGGCCAGGCTGGGAGTGAGCCTCCGTCCCTGGGAGGGCTCCAGGGTCAGGGAAGTGGGAGGAGAGTCTCGGGTAGGGACAAGGGCTGAGACTGGGATCCCCAAAGCTGGGACCTTCACACCTGCTGATGGGCAGACCTAGGATGTGACCTCTTGGGGCCCCAGTGCCTGCGTGTCAGAGGGGCTTCACCTCTCCCTGGGGTGCGTGAGGTTGGAGGTGCAGCCCCACCGACACCCCAGCAATGGGCGTGTGAGGAGAGGCGGGCTGGGGTTCCAGCTGCTCACTCATCAATGCTGACACCCGTGGGCCTGGCCTTGCGGCAGGTTCCGAGGTCCTCTGTGCTTCTGCAGGGACAGGGTGGAAGGACTTGCTGCCCGTGCGGTGCGAGACGACGCGGCATTCAGCCCGACCGGTGCCTCTGCGTGTTTACAAGTCAGCGTCAGACCGACCAGGCTGCCCCACACTCCACCGTGTGGGGAGTGTCTTCCCGCGCGGGTCTGGCCTGTGCAGGCACCCCCAAGCGAAGCCCACTCTCGAGCTTGCCACAGCCACAGCCTGACCCCTGGCCTCTCGGGCCTTCATTTTCTCCTCCGGTTGCTGACCGCAGGTGGCTGAATGAGGAAACTGAGGCACGTATGCTCTGTAGACGTGCACATGCCCATGGGACCCCAGAAGGGGGTGGCTGTCCGCTCTACAGAGGATCCTGTTCACATCTGGCAGCTCTGGTGCATCCACAGTCCTGGAGTGAGAATCACAATTTGGCTGCTCCGCTGTCCTTGACCTGTGTGTGAGAAGTGGTCAGGCACCCTCAGGCTCTGCATCTCACCGGCCCAGGGGCTCTGGGGTGCTGCTGTCACCAAAGGACAGCAGGGCAAAGCAGCTGCTGCTCCACCTTCTAGAGAGGGGAGTAAGCCCAACGTGGAGCAAACAGACTGAAGGCGCAGAGGTTGTGGCCGGCAGACCGTATCTGCCTGCAGCAGTGGGGACACCCAGCATCTCCACCTGGCGTAGGAGCGGCGGGCAGAGGTTCCCAGGTGCAGGGCTGGGATGAGGCCCATCACCCCAGCACCCAGGATGCCAGCTGCCGGCCGCGTCTGACCCAGCTCCAGCGTGGGTGTTGGATGCTGGGGTGGGCATGCACCTCGCAGTCCTGTCTGGGCCCTGGTTGCCTGCAGAAGCTGAGAAACAGAGCCTTCCTGGCTGGAGAGGCGCAGCACCCTGCAGAGCGCGGGAGGGACTGTCCCGCTGTTCATCACAGTTCATTGAATCTGGACACAGGGATGTTTGTGGCAGCAGAAAGCTGAGTGATTTGTAATAGCAGATGACAAACTCACACCAGCTTGTTTTTAATGACATCCAACAGAAGCCGGGTCCTGGACCCCTGGGGTTGGGGCTCGTCTCCAGTGTTTAGCAGAAATTCTTCTCTTCACACGGTTCCGGTGCCACCACGGGTGAGCAGGCTGCCCTCGCTGTCCCTCAGTGAGTCTCCGGCTGCCTGGACTGGCTCACCTTGACAAGCAGAGCTGCCAGCCCACGGCCCGGCCCCAAGCCTCAGCTCACAGCGTCTCCTCCAAGAAATTCCGGGCTTCCCCCACCTCCTCGGAAACCGCTGTCCCCTTCCCCGGGGAACTTCCCGTTACCCTTCCTCGTGTAAGCCAATACTCGGACAGGAGTTGGACCTTGTCCTTACCGTTCTGGGTACCCTAGAGCACCAAGCCCAGGCATCTGAGAAGTACAACGAGCAAGGCTGAAGTTTTCAAAGAGGAGCCCTATGGGTCCCAGGAGGCGCACACTGCCCGAGCTCCCCAGTGGCACCTAATCAAATTCCAGGAGAAATCTGGTAACGGCTGGGTCAGAGAACTGCGGTCTTCAGGCCCAGCGTGGGTCACGAGGGATCAAGCCGGCTTTTGCTTCAGCGAATCCCCCAGCTGGTAGCCAGGGGACAGGCAAACCTGGCCCCCTTTCACCTCTGGCTTTCAGTGATACACTGGGTTGACAGTCCCTTGGGCGGCCATGGGAGCAAGATGGAGATACAAAGTCTTTCAACAAACACACAGGGGAATTACGAGCCCGCCCTTGTGCCCAGGACCTAGCATGCACCCTGGACAGAGGCTCAGCCCTCAGGTCTGCCGTGGTCTGCCCATGACTTCCTCAGTTACGGGGGAAGATGACACCTGCAGTTGCATGGGACGGCTCATCTCTTGGGCCATCAGCCACCGTATACCGGTGAGTGATGCGGAGTCGTGCGCAGACCGAGGTCCAACTGCAGCTGCACTTTGCTCTGACCTTGGCCCTGACTGCCGGGTGCGGGCAGGGAAGTTCAGGGCCTGGGGAGAGTTCCTACTCCTCTCAGCCCCAGCCCCGCACCAGCTGACCCGCTATGACCCAAGCCCAGCGGTGACATCTATACAGACGCTGCCCACCCCCAGGCCACCCTGCTCTCAGAGCCTGAGTCACATCCTCCTTAGCAGCGTGGGGATGGTTTTACTTTGCAGTTAAGTAATCTTTAATAAGGTCATTAAAATGGGGGAGAAAGGCAGTGAGGTAACCACATGGCAGCGTGTCGCCAGAGATGACCACATCGACCCCAGGTTTCACGACCCCAGTGGAACCCAGCTGCTTCCAAAGGGCCCCTGGTGGACACTGTACCAGGTTCTCGTGACTGTCAGCGTGCCAAGGCTGGGCTTTGTCCCCTTCCTGCCTCCGACGCTGCTGGGGGCAGAGAGTTGGCTTGGAGAGTCTCGGCAGAAGTTAGACTTCGGAGCAGAGGGCAGGCTCTGGGGCCCTGGCTGTGCCCAGAACCCTGGAGGCTGGGAAACGGGGGGACCCACGAAGTTCACCTCCACCTCCTGGAGAGGATCCTGGGCCCCAGCGGCACTATGGTCCCTTCGTGGTTTGATGGCAACAAATTACATTCACTTTTAACCCAACTTCACAGTGGCTCCAGGATGTAGGAAAGTGTTAGCTCCACTTCAGGGACAGGACACAGATGCCAGGGAGGCGAGGTGGCTGCCCCAGGGGGCACTGCAGTGGTGATGTGACGGGTGGGTGCAGGCCCCCAGAATGTATTGCTGCAGCTCCTGCCGCCCTCCGAGGCCTCCTGGCCACATACTGCTGCTGCCCAGCTTGCCATCCAGCAGTGCTCACGGAGAAAACCAAAGACAAAGGCTTCCAAGGCCAGGAGCAGGTTTCTACCTTCCTTCTCCAACACACCAGGTCCTGGGTCCCAGCCCCACAGGGGGCTTTTCCCCGCACCAAGCATTGCCATCTCCCCAACCTGCGGCAGTGCCCTGCTTGCTGACTCTCAGTGTCCCAGAAGTCTTCTCTCAGAGCTTCTTCAACTGCCTCTCACCACAGCTGGTCTCTCCCATGCCTCCCAGTCCTTGATCTGGACAGCACAAGGCTGTGGAAAAATCCACAGGATAAAGGCCAAGAAAGCTGAGTTCTAGAACTTTCCACCAAGCATCACCATTATCTTTTAACAACAAAAGTATTCACATGCTTGGGCATGATCTCACAGAGAGCTTGTGTTCCAGGGCAGAACACAGGCTTTGGAAACTCAGATGAGTCTCCAACTGGCTGTCACGCTGCCTGAGTCACACTGCCCCTCTTAGTCTTTATCTTCTCACCTACCACTGATGGTTATGATGATGGCTGAGCCAAATTATGCCACACTGAACTCAGTGCTTGCCCGCTAGTGGTGCACTGTCAAGATGAGCACCTGCCCTTCCATCATGATAGGCAACTAGGACCTCAAACCTGTATTTATCTATCCATCCATCCTTCCATCTCTTCATCCATTCACCCATCTATCCACCCCTCATCTATCCAACCACCTATCCATCCATCTACCCATTCATCCATTCATCCGTCCATCTCTCCATCCATCTATCCACTCCTCATCTATTCAGCTATCCATCCATTCATCCACCCACCCATTTATTCATCCATCCACCCATTTATTCATCCACCCACCCATCTATTCATCCACTTACCTACCTATTCATCCACTCACCCACCTATCCATCCATCATCCACCTATCCATCCATCCATCCACCTATCCATCCATCCACCCACCTATCCATCCATCCATCCATCCATCCATCCATCCATCCATCCATCCATTCATCCACCCACCCATCTATTCATCCACCCACCCATCTATTCATCCACCCACCCACCTATCCATCCATCCACCCACCCATCTATTCATCCATCCACCCACCTATCCACCCATCCACCCACCTATCCATCCATCCACCCACCTATCCATCCATCCACCCACCTATCCATCCATCCATCCACCCACCTATCCATCCATCCATCCATCCATCCATCCATCCATCCATCCATCCACCCACCCATCTATTCATCCACCCACCCATCTATTCATCCACCCACCCACCTATCCATCCATCCACCCACCCGTCTATTCATCCATCCACCCACCTTTCCACCCATCCACCCACCTATCCATCCATCCATTCATCCATCCACCCATCCATCCATCCATCCATCCTTCCATCCATCCATCCATTCATCCATCCATCCATCTCTCCATCCTCCCATCCAATCTTGGTTCTTGATGCCTTTGGCTAGAAAGCCCTGGATTTCTGTAGTCCAAGTCCAATATTCTTACAACCCCTGCTACAGCTGTCCCTCAAATCCCTCCTTCTCCTCAACAGTAAGACCTTCCCCGTGGACCCCTCAGAAGCCCCTCTGCACTGCTCTTTGGCAATAGACCCCATGGAGAGCTTCAGGCTCACCTCCACATGAGACTTATCCCTCTGCCTCTTCCACCTCACGTACCCACATTCCAGAGCACGTTGTGTGACGGGGCTGGAGGTGCGGGCAGGAGGTGGAGGCGGAGTGGTCATCTCCTCCTACCTGGCTCCCGAGAGAACCAGACAAAAAGCCTCACTGCCATTTGTCCCCAGCCCAACGCAGAAGCTCTGAGAGGCCTCAGATCTTGCTCCCTTGGCACCACCTCTCACGGAGGAGCACGAGTTCGAGTTAAGGAACACGCAAAACCGCAGTCTGAGAGGGGAGTATTTCTTTTCTCATTCTTCCTTTGTTTTCAGAGGTGTCCAAGACTAAAGTTCTTTCAATATGTCAGGCTTTTCAAAAAATGATTAAAATGCACCAGATTATTAAACAGAGCTGCTTCAGACTTAATTTAGCAAACTGTAACATTTTTATCATTTTTATAAAACCCTTCTTAATGAAAACCGTCTGCAAATATCGAGGCTGAAATCATGTTTTCTCTGCATTTGTTATCCCTGAAGATGTTATTTCCAGATTTTACAGAAATAATAAATTTCATTTAGAAGTTTGGGCCTCTGCGGCGGTGCCGCACATCCCTGAATTTCCAATTTGCAGTGCAAGAAGCTAATCCCGCTGTAATTTTTCATACTTGCCAACTCCCAACCACAATTTCATGCCTTCCTCTCCCCTTTGAAAGTGCAGTACTTGTAGCAACATTCGACCCAGTGTGTTTATTTTACATGAGTCTGAAGAATGTTGTTCTAATAAGCATAAACATATTTTCTCAGTGACAAAATGTTTTCATCCTGCTGCTCCTGATTTCACAGGTCACCGCTTGAGACGCTTTCCCACGAGCAGTCTCCTCCGTCCACCGGCCTGGACGGGAGGCGTCCGGGCAGGACACACGCTGTGCGGGGTGGCACAAGTTTGCGAGTTAGGTCCGCCTGTCGGACAGCCAGGCCCGTCCTGGACGCCCCTCAGATGACACCTCATTAACTGAGGTGAGACTTCCAGCCCTAGGAATTATGGCTACCATAAAACTACCTCAAAAGTGGTTTCTCAGGTCCAAGGCCTGCGGCCTGTCTTGGTGGCCGCCCGGTGGCTTTCTTCCACGTGGGAAGCAGGGACAGCTGCAGCTCAGCGGCCCTGCGGCCCTGGTCTTGAGGTCATGACTGGACCACATCCAATGGGAATTAAGTCTGGCGGTGCAGCACGGTGCTGGGGGCGGGATCACCTGGTGTGCCCTTTCTGGCTTCCGAAGTCTTCCTCCACAGGTCAGGAGGGGTCACGAGGCCACCAGTCCTTCCCTGGCTCCTCCTGGAGGGCATCCTCTTCACTCAGGTGTCTCGGGAGATTTGGTGGGGATGATGGACCCCGAATCTAGAAAGCGTTCAGCTGGTTCACCAAACAGATCCGGCTGTGTCCCAGGTTACCACTTCAGTGTGGTTCAGCCTCCCCTGAAGCTACTGGGCCCCAGATGGGTTTGCACCCCACCCCTTGCTTTGCACTCAGCTCTTGGGCAGTGTACCCTCCACTCACTTGAAGCACCAAGTTTTTATCAAGGGTTGGCAGTCTTTTAGGGACCACCATCCCCTTCAGTGAAAAGTCATTTTCTGTCAGCAGTTTGAGGTGAATACTTCCTGTGTAACACCGTAAGTGTCCCCCAGCTGCTTCTGGGTGTTGACAAATGTCCTCTCCACCTCCTCTCACCACCAGAGTTAGATAGCCCGGCACGTTACTGCCTGTGGTCACGCTTTGTCTTCAACACCAAGGAAACTTGTGCCTGGGGACTTGATTCTTGTAGGTGACCGGCCTTCCTAAGACCCCAGTTCACTCAGCGAACTGCCCAGAATATAGTCCAGGGTCCCATAGTGGAGACTGGCTGGGCCCAGGTCTCTGGTGCTCCCACCCAGGGGCTCCAGCAGAATTCCCCACAGCCTTCTCCCCAGAAGTTCTGCGGACTCTGGGTTGAGCTGAGGTCACGGAGAACTTCCTGCGGTTTATGTCACATCCAGCCTCCTGCTCCCCATCAGGGCAAATACCCCCAACTGGCCCTGCCGCCAAACTAGCAATCTCCTGACCCCGTGCTGCGAAGAACAAAGGTCCAATTCAGCCTCCCGGGTGGGAAAGGGATCTCATTAAGGCCCTGGCAGCCGACGTGGGGGCCGACGTATTGTTTTTAGTGGAAAAACAAGAATTTGCTGTTATGTGTTAGATTAAAGGCTTTATCCAGGGGAATTAATCGGATTGCTACCAGCCTTCTGCGGTGCAGCCTTTGACTTCCCATCCTTGGAGAAGTCACAGACCAGGGTCTCGAATTGGTTCATTTCTCTTTCTGTTATTTAATGAAAGCCCAGAAAGCTCCAGCACAGCTCTCCTTCCTGGGGTGGCCGAGTGTCGCCTGTCACCTTTACACCCCACACACCGTGGTCTCCCAGCACCGGCCAGCGCCCCTACCCCTCGCTGGCCCCTGGGGCCATTGCCAGCTCCATCATCCTGAGACCCAGAGCGCTCAGGAGCTGTCATCGCTCCACGCTGCTTCCCCCGCACTCCGGACTCCGCAAACCTTAACTCTTTATTGCAGTGCCAGACACAGGGGAAAGTACATGACTGCAGGGGACACCGAGCTGTCACCTACCGGCCAGGCTCCCTCACCTCAGCCAGACAGGAGCAGAAACAGAGACTTGCTGGGCCCACGAGGCCTCCACGCCATCCCGCTTCGACACCATTTTAAAGTCTATGTTTTACAGTGAAATTGTACACTGACTTCTGTGCTACGTTTGTGTCCAGGTGAACAAGCTTTGAACAAGCGATTTCCAGCCGGTGCATACCTGTCATCCCAGCACTGTGGGAGGCTGAGGCAGGAAGATCATGAGTTCAAGCCCAGCCTGGGCAACTTAGTGACTCAGGGAGACCCTGTCTCAAAGTAAAAAATAAAAAAGGGGTGGGGATTTCACTCCACGATAAGGCCCTGGGTCCCAGCCCCAGCTCCCATGCCCTCAAATGTTGTTCCGCACCTCTAGGAAACAGAAGAGGCCTCACGATGCTGCCCCCTCCCGGAGCATTACCAGCACCTCAAGTCCTTGACAGGCTGTAAGAGCACTGCCTCCAGGAAGCCCTCCAGAGCCCGCCGCTTCTGAGAGCCATCTCATGGGTGGAGACTTTTCCCACCTGCCCCTCCATCTTGGCATGAATCTCCTTTTAGACAGGGAGCCATGCAGGGCTGGGGAGCATGGGGACCAGGGGGACCTGCCTCAGCAGGTGCATAGGAAAGCTGGCATCTGGGAAAGGTACGGCTCCAGTGACCCAGTGCCCGGTTCCTCCTGTATTCGGCACTTCTGCTGCGAGGGAGGAACTCGCCTGCCACCTTCGAGACGCACAGCATCCTGGGACAGGAGGGACTCTGTCCGCTGTCCACTGCCCAGGATGGGGGTGGGGCTCTTCCCCACTGTTTCTGGGAGGGCAATTAGTGCCGCCACTGTGCAAATCAGGGTAGAAGCTTCTCAAAGAAAAAGAAAGTCCATTCGGCCTAGCTCTTCCCCTTCTACGTATCTTCTTGAGAGTTAAAGACATCATGTTCCAGTGGTCTATGCACACCCATGTGTATAGCAGTGCAACTCCTAACAACTAAGTCTTGGAAACAGCCTCTACCTCCGT